AGCTTGGTCCAAGCCCCTCGAGGTACGACCGTCCCGGCGACTGTGCCGCCGCGGGTGCCTCCTCGCCCTGCGCGGGCGCCGCCGCCTCCTGCGCCTGTGGTGGCGTCGCCGCCGCCTGCGCCTGTGGTGCCGCGGCTCCTGCCACTGGTGGTGCTGGGTCACGCGAACCTCGAGCTTCTGGGTGCGGCGGAGGATCTTTTCCTCGCACCGCCCCCCACGGAGCTCCCGTGGCGCCAGCTGCGGCGACCCTGGCGGGGCAGGCTGCGAGCTTGGCCTCGTCCATTGCGTCGTGGATCTGCGCGGCGAAGTAGAACGCATTGCCGACTAGCTTCACGTCCGCCCGCTCAAACGTCTTGAGGTTCACGGCGCGGGGGTCGCCCCCCTCAAGGACGAACCTGAACTGCTTGCGCGTCAGCTTCGCGAGGCTGAGCGCCGCGCCCTGAGGGGCGGGGTTGTTGCTAACTCTGAGGTTCTCCAAGCATGGCTGGCGACCCTTCTCGCCGCCGACGACCATCGGGATCCCACGGGGCCCCTCAGTACCAAGCCTCTGGCCGCTCACCGCGGTGAGCCTGGGCGCAGCGGGGCCCTCCTGAACCGTTGGATGCTGCGCTCCGAACGCCTGGCCGCAGAGGTGCTCGTCGCTGCCGCTATCTGCGAGGATGGGCCCTCTGCGCTCCTGCCCGCGGCAGCCTCCGACCGTGCTCCTGCCTCCAAACACCCGACCGACCTCGTCGCCGTCGGAGCCCGCAACCACCGCGCCAACGGTCCTCTGGCCCTCAGCGCCCGCAGGGGCCTGCTGGACTGCGGCCGCCTTCGGGAGCGCTGCCGACGGCGCCCGTGGCTTGCCGGCCGCCGTGCGCCAGCAGCCCCTATCATTGCGCCCCTGCTTGTGGCACCAGTTGCAGGTTCCCTCGAACTTGGCGGGGTAGCTGCCCTTGAGCTGGTCATTCTTGACTCATTTCTTGCTGCCTTTTTTTCCGCCCTTGTCGCCCTTGCCGCTCATCTTGTCGCTCTTGCCGCCCCCCGACTTGTCGCCCTTGCGCTTGGGCCAGGGATGTCGCGGCAGGACATGGCCCGAGATCGCACCGATCTCCAACGGCGCCGCGCCTTGATCCACCGCGCCGCTGGTTGCGAAGACCTGCCCCGACGCCATCCACTCCCTCAGGTGGGTCCTCAGCGCCATGTGCGAGACGTTGGCGGCCGTCGGAGCATAGCGCAGCACGGTCTTGCGCGGCTCGGGGCCACGGACGGGCAGCGCGGCAATGCGAAACTCATCGCCGAAGTCCCTCCCCGCCTGCACGACGCACCTCGCCACGTCGTTGCCCCAGCCAACGAGCTTGTCAGCGAACGGCTTCTGGTCACCCCACCTTGGGTTGAGCAGGCCGCTGAGCATGGCCGCGAACCTGTTGCCCACCCCAGGCTCGTACTCGTTCTTGATCGCCCGCCAGGCAACGAAACCCTCGTGCATGCCAGCGAGAGCAACCATTGCCAGCGCCTTGCGCTGGGTCTTGGTGATCAGCATGGCATGCAGCAGCTTGCTCGTCGCTGCCGCACGCTCGCCAATGCTGACGTTGTCCATCGCGAGCGCAGGCTGGGCCTCAACGTTGTCGATGAGGTCATCCCAGCCCATCAGCGCGAAGAACGCGTGGGCTTTGATGGACCAGATGGGCCACTCCTCATCTCTGCCACTGAACTCTGGCAGCTTGATGTCGCCTCTGCAATTCACCAGCTGCTCTCTGGGCGCCGCTGCCATGGGCAGCGCGCGTCCTCAGTCTTCCCGCGGATCGGATCTGCGCAGTTCACCGCAGAACCACGCTCTCCGCTACCATGGCGGAAGTTACTCGGATGCATAGGGAAAGCGTAGATTGGGGCTCTTTTTCCTCCAACGCAGCTCGAACAAAAGGGCCTGCGGGTATGCTACGACTTGATGGCGCTCGAATCACACAATATCCCGAGCAGAAACCGTGGATCCTCCTTGTGACCACTCGATACGTTGCCGACGAAGCCGGCCGATGTTCGTAATATGTCTGAACGGGAGGTGTTGGTTGTGGACGCTGCAGCGCCGCAGCTCGACAGTCTCAGTACTCACCATCACTTTAAGGGCCCGGCCCCTCACAAAAACTGATCCCCCAGCTGACAACAGGGCCTCCTCAGAACGCGGGAGAATCGAAGCTACACCTGATTCATTGCGAGAAGAACCTCCCGAGATCGTACTTCCGAACAATTTGGAATCATAAACAACACGTTGAAAGAACACGTTGGCCTGATCTTTGGTTCGATGCGCTTCCAGGGCGGCCATGAAGGCGCGACCCAAATCACATTGCCTGGGGTAGCCAGGTGTTTTAATATATATTTATATATATATATATAAATAAATAAATAAATAATAAAAAAAAAAAAATAAAAAAAAAAAAAAAAAAAAATCGCCGGCCCAACGGGCCAGGGCGTGCTAAGATCTCCGGTAACTGGTTAACAGTATTAACAGTATTTCTAGTTCGCGCGCGCGGGGCGGCCCCTGGGGGTCCCCCGGCGAAAAGTACCCCGACCAACGCCCGACCGCCGCCCGACCGCCGCCCGACCAAGTCTACTCAGAGATGGTTTTCCTTCTGGGTGCGGCCTCTCAGGCTCCCCAGAGCGCGCTCAGAGTGCCCCAAGAGGCCCCCAAGACTGCCCAAGAGGCCCCCGAGACGCCCAAAGAGCGCTCGAAGACGCCGAAGATGACCCCAAGACGGCCCAAAAGGCCCCCAAGACAGCCCAAGAGGCCTCCAAGACGCCCCAAGAGCCTTCCAAGAGGCCTCCGAAGAGAGCCCCAAGAGGCCAAAATCGTTGATTTTCATTGGTTTGTTCGATGTTTTTTGTGTTCTGGCTTTTTCGGCTTCCGGACGCTCCAAGACGGCCCAAGAGGCCCCCAAGACCGCTCCAAGACGGCCCACGAAGCTCCCAAGACGGCGCCGAAACGACCCAAGAGAGCCCTCAAGACGGCCCAAGTGCCGCCCAAGACGGACCAAGAGGCCCCAAGACGGGCCCAAGAGGGACTCAGGAGGGATACCGAGAACTCAAAAATGGAGCCCTCCGTCCCAGAAGGCGCCCAGGAGGTCCCAAAGAGGCCCCAAGAGGCCTCCAAGAGGCCCCAAGATGTCGCCAAGAGGCCCCAGGAGACTCCCAGGAGGCCCAAAAGAAGCCCCAGAAGGCTTCAAACATGTCTCCCAGGCGCCCCCGAACGGCCTCTCAACAGACCCCAAGAGGCCCCCCAAAGAAGCATCTTGACGACGACTCTATTTCGCCCCATCGAGAGACGACCCCCAGGGAACTGCTTCACCATCAAAACTCCCCACGCAACGCGTCCGAACGACACCCGCCCCCAAGAGCGCAACATGGGCAACGAACACACAGACAAAAACCAGCGATGCCATATCACGGGCCGGCGGAATGAGCGAAGCGATTCAATAGTATTACCAGAACCAAGCCACGAGCGTTCCACGAACCAAAGGCCATCATACGACCTGCTGACTTGGTGGAAGGGCGCGAAGCCCGAGAAACCAAGATCGTACCATGCTCCCGCGTCAGGAAGTTGTCGAAAACACCACCCAAAATTGGCGTCAGGCGAGATGATGGTCTCAATGTTTTGTGCGGTATGTTGCCTGGGGAGATGCTTTTCCGCCACGCCTTTGTCGTGCCAGAAGAGGAGGAGGGAGGAGGAAAAGGAGGAGGAGGAGGACGACGACGAAAAAGAGGAGAAGCAACAGCAAGAGCAGGAGTGGGAGGAGCAGGTGGAGGAGTAGAAGGACCAGGAGAAGGCGGAGGAGGGGAAAGGAGCAGGGCGTCATCGATGAGGAAGGACTTGGATCCAAAAAGGTGGCTGCGCTGGGGCGAACGCGCAGTTGTGAACGACGGGGGCAGGGCGCGGATCCGAAAATGAGGCCCGCGCTGCAGCAGGAGCACGCTTCTGGAAGGACAGAGAACCGTCTGATTGAACAAAGTACATGGAAAACAGCTCTAAACAATGCTGTCTAAAATCAATACGCGGAAAGGGGGGCGGGCGACTCTCAGGGGGTCTCTGGAGGAGCGAGGAGAGTAGTATTCATATTGAACAGTTGACGGGGGGGAGGGAGGGTAGGAGAGGGGGGTAGGATAGGGAGAGGGGAGCAGAGGGGGGAGAAGAGGAGGAAAGGGACGGGAGGAGGGAAGGAGGGGAGGAGAGGGGGAGAGGAAGGAGAAAGGGGGAGGAGGAGAGGAAAGGGGCAGAGAGGGAGGGAGGGGAGGAGAGGGGGGGAAGGGGGGGAGAGGGAGGAGTCGAGCAGCTATCACAGGCCCACCTCGCAAATCTTGCCCTTGACCCCTCGGCCCCTGGGGCCCTCCGGAAACCTCCGGGGACTCCAGGGACCACCGGGGACTCCAGGGACCTCCGGGGACCTCCAGGTGCCAGGACCTGGGGCGAGAGCAAAACTTTCCAGGTCCACCTCCTCCCTCCTCCCTAGATCTAACCAACGGTGAGAAAACCCGACCCACTCCTGAGCACAAAGTGGCCCATAGTTCAGCGGATTGACTTAAGTGTTTGCCTGGTGAGCCTCCAGCCCTGCTTGGAGGCCTCTCCAGTTGGGCCTCGAGTCGACCTCGACCACCCCATGGAACAACTGGGGATGCACCAATTCTGAACGCCAAGGAGAGCCAACAACTGCACAACGAGACCCGCCGTGAAGGTGCTGACCACGCGCACAAGCGTCTCTGAGTGCGAACACTTCGTATCATCGTAATGTCCCCTTTGCCACCCTTTCGCAATATATTCCTCATCTTCCTCTCCTGACCTGTCTGCATCAAAACATTGGACGCGTGCATATCAAACGGTTGCAAATGAACTACACCGTTGCCTGAACTATGGGCCGGCTATGCAAGGCCATAATATGTGCAACTGCATGGTCTATCAAGGTTACGTGATGGTTCGTATCTCGTCTCCCTCAGAGCTTCACCCCTCACGCATGACCAAGCTGATAGAACTGATCCTTTGCCAATATTATCCTGCACGGCCAGCAGGTCACGAAAATAACAAGTAAAACTGGTCGTGCATTGAACGCTGGCGAACACAATTGCACCCCAATTCACCCCGCACATGCTGCAATCTCTGCAAGCACGCCCGGCGTATCATTCACGAAGACGGCATGCCTGTCGCAATTGTCCAGAACACCTGGAACTGACCACTGTCGTTTTGAACGCGTCAATCGTCCGCAATATGGCTCGCCCCTCGTAGCCGCAAACAGCATGGCAGCGTCTATGCGACCATGGTTACGCTACAGACTGCACATCTGGTAGTGGAAATAAGTTGCTCTGCATTCAATCAAATTATGGCTCCTGAGACGTGACTTCGTAGACATCTCACCAAGGCTGCGTTGTCACAAATCACATGTTCTGACACGTTGCATCTCCACTGGAAGTCTCTATCGTCGTTGTCCTGCACCTGATGCACGCTCTCAAGTTCTTGGTCGAGCTCGGAGTGAATTGTCGGATCTCCTGTAGGGAGGGTGCTGCGTTCAAAAAGCTTGACGGATGAGGAAGCGCGGCAACGAAAACGAAATGGGATGTCGAAGTAAGCTGCAAAAACCATTAGACTGCGAAGCGGAAGGAGGCTGCAGAAATACTAAGTACCAAGTACTAGGTGCATAGCACGCGCGCATTCGAACGACGTTGTGTACCTGGCATCCCTCATTGCTAGCACACGCATTATCTTCGAATTCGGCTTCCGAAACCGATCTCCAGCGAAGCGCAGTCGTGACTGCTCTGGCACCATCTGCGCAGCGCGCCAATCCAGACATCAGAGGCTCAAGGAAGCATCGAGAACCGCATCGAAATTTCCAAACAAGCTGCGCGAAAATCGGGAGAGCTGAATGAGGCTATTCGACCTTCCGCTGTGCCCAGCCCCGTTGAAGATTTCAGCAGATCCATTCCACAAATAGCACCAACGTCCTTAAAACAATATCTCAACGATCCCTGCCCGCCCCAGGCCACATCCTGGATCTCTTCCTCAGTGAACTCGTTGCTATTCCACTGGTCCATGTAGCACCCGTTACGCCCATGCACACGCCTCCCAACACCCTGAAGGTTCGGTCACCATCGAAATCCGCTCACATACTGTCGAATGTCATGCTCCTGTCCTGTGTCTCCCTTCTGTTTCTCTTATCATGGCCTCTCATGTTTGCCAGCCAACCCCCTCCTCAACCTAAACCGGTGGGAACCTGGGAGCTCATGTGGCCGTGTTGGGCCCTTCTCGTTCGCCTGGAACGAAGATTGAGGTTCTCTCGGGTTGGCCTGATACCCTCTTGTCGCCCTCTTGACCCACTTCATCACCCACCACCTCCTGCTTCCCCAGGCCCGAAACTCCTCCGCATCCTCCTTCTCCTCCTTCCGCTCTGCTTCAACTCCGCGTGTCCCCCCCCCCACCCGCCCACTCCCCCCACGGTCTGAGCGCGCCGCCCCCGGCCGCCCTCCGCCTGCCCTCGGTTTCTCGGTGTGCCATCCCGCCGTCTTGCACCCCAACGTAGTCTCGTGCGCGTCGTGCGTCTGCCGGCGCCGGGGCAAAACCACGGTCCCCCACCCGCCCCTATCGTAGCACGCACTCGACAGCGACGAGCCGCTCGTCGCTTCGATCAATATAACGTGCACCCCCCCCATCAGCGCGAGGGATGACACGGCGATCAGCAGAGGGCTAGAAATCGCAGGATCCTGGGTAGCTCCAATGTCTGGTAGGAGCCCCGGCAATACAACAAGAAGCGGGCTGATAATCCGAACCAGAGGGCGACCACTGGTGGGCAAAGCAGGGCTGGGAAGGTGTAAGCTATGAATGACATAATTACTAATTTCGAATAGTGGTGGGCCCTTCCAAGAACGCGAGCCTTGAAGGACATCCAGGGATAACTGAGAAAACCAACGGGCTGGCAAACCTCGAGGCAAACAACCTGACGCCAAACGAAGCAAACGCGGTGCTATTCAGCTTCACCAGATCAGTTTCTTAATGCCGTTGGCTCTTGGGGGACCAAGACCCTGCAAATTCCCCCCAAGTGCTGGGCGCGTAGGTCATGGGGGCAAGGTTACTCCCCTAGATCCTCTGGGACGGCCATCAGGTAAGCCAAGCACAAACGCCTGTAACCCTCCTGCAGTTTGCTCTCCTCCTATGAGACGCTGAGCAAGGAACAACGATGCCTTCTTGCCACGGAGAGCCCCAGCCACGAACAAGTTCTCCGACCCAGACTGAAGCCCCGAAAACCTGATCAACTCCAGATCCCAACACGGCCCTTATTCCGGCACCCGACTGCACGTCCAAAGAAGCCGGAAGACGAGCATGGCTCACCTGAGCAGTCTGAGCGAAAGGCTTTGCGGGTACCCTGCACGGACCTGGGGGCAGTCTGAGCGGGTGCTCGGGGGCCTCCCCCGGCACGGACCAGCCACACACAGGAGTGACCCTGGTCGCCGCGTGCGGTGCGACAGCACAGCCGAAACATAGCCACAGGAGCGTGGATCAAGAACATAAGCCCCTTTGCCGAGGGTCTAAGGCCCCGTGGAGATACCCAGCCCGAAGGCCAGTCCACAGGGGGGGGCGCAAACACGAAGTTGCTCTTAACCCTCGTCCCGGCTGTAGCGGCATGCATGCTTGGGTGTACTCCTCCCCCGCGCCCCTCGCAATCCGCGCACCAAACATCACCGTGGCGAAGGGCCATTCGGCTTGTGGCACATAACTCAGGCTGCCATTCGGAGCGAGTCGGGAACACCCCGAACGCTCTCGACGACGCGCAGCTGCAGCCGCAAGAATTCCCAGGCTGACCTCCGCGAACCGACGAGAACATCCGAATGCCTCGAACTTCGATCCTCGAACGGTGAGGGGAACGGTGCACTGCCCTTGGGGGCCAGAGGCGCCAGGAAGCGTGTAGTCGCATTGCCGGGGGAACGTGCACAGGTGGGGCAAGGGCAGAGGTGGGGTCAGAGGACAATAATTCTAAACGGCCCCTAGAAGGACATTTGAGCATTCAGCCCAGCCTGGCCCGGCAGGCCCCCTGGCTCGTCGCGCCCCGCCCGCCCAAGACCGCTGCGGGCGAACTCCTTCCTGGCCCGGGAGCGGCAGATACCCGCTCTTCGGCGACACGATTTGTTCAATCCCCGCGGGTCTGTTTCGATTTCGATTTCTGTGGCCCGTCAGAAGGGTCCAGGGCGCAAAACAGCCCCTGGGGAAGGGGTCGAGACCTTCTGGGGCCGCGCATTGAACAAATCAGATCGCCAGGTGACTGGTCAGGCCGCCGCGCATCGCCTGCAGCGCCATCCGCGCTCGCCTCCGCACTGGGGACGCAGCCCATCGGCGGCCCTGGCACACATCCAAAGTCACCAGCGGCCCTCATATCGGAAGCCATCGGCGGCTTTCGGCAGACATTCAGAAAAATCGACGGCCTCTGGGCGACCATCTCGGCGGTCCCCTGGCACAAAACCGCCCACCCGCGCCCCCAGTGCCAGGCGCTCCAGCTGGGCAGCGGGCCGCCCCTCCGTTCGGGGGCTGCCAGGGATGCTCTTGGACCAGGGTGTCCCCAACGCTTCCTCGTGAGTGGTTTCCTAAGGATGCCGTGGGGGCCTCCCTGGACCCAGATCTCCGACGTAGCGGTTTTCCTCACAACTCGGTTCCGCAGAGGTCCCGACCCCTTCCCAGGGATTTGATGCTTCTCATCACAAGCCTTGTAAGGGCCCCCGCGCCGAAAACTGACGAAAACCTTCCGCTCCTGTAACGACGCGAAGAGGACAGAGGAAATCATGGGGACAACTTCAGGCTACACGCAAATGAATATTCGTTCGCAAGGGTGCCCCCCGGCAAGACTGACCTGTCGTGCGCGGCTTGTGTGTGCGTGTGTGTGTGTGTTTGTGTGTGTGTGTGTGTGTTTGCGTGTGTGTGTGTGTGCTTGTGTGTACTTGTGTGTGTGTGTTTGTGTGTGTGTGTGTTTGTGTGTTTGTGTGTTTGTGTGTTTGAGTGTGTGTGTGCTTGCGTGTGTGCGTTTGTGTGTGTGTTTGCGTGTTTGTGTGTATGTTTGTGTGTGTGTTTGCGTGTGTGTGTGTGCGTGTTTGTGTGTGTGTGCTTGTGTGTGTGTGTGTTTGTGTATGTTTGCGTGTGTGCGTTTGTGTGGGTTTGTGTGGTTGTGTGTGTGTTTGTGCGTGTTTGTGTGTTTGTGTATGGTTGTGTGTTTGTGTGTGTGTGTTTGTGTTTGTGTGTTGTGTGTGTGGTTATGTGTGTGTTTGTGTTTGTGTTTGTGTTTGTGTTTGTGTGTATGTGTGTGTATGTGTGTATGTGTGTGCGTGTGCGTGTGCGTGTATGTGTGTGTGTGTGTCTGCGTGTGCGTGTGCATTTGCGTGTGCGTGTGCGTGTGCGTGTGCGCGGGTGTGCGTGTGCGTGTGCGCGTGTGCGTGCGCGTGTGCGCGTGTGCGTGCGTGTGCGTGCATGTGCGCGCGTGTGTGCGTGTGTATGTGCGTGTGTGTATGTGCGTCGCGCGCGTGTGTGTGTGTGTGGGTATGTGCGTGTGCGTGCGTGAGTGTGTGTGTGTGTGGGTGTGCGTGTGCGTGTGCGTGTGCGTGTGCGTGTGCGTGTGCGTGGTGTGCGGGTGTGCGTGTGCGTGTGCGCGTGTGCGTGTGCGTGTGCGCGTGTGCGTGTGTGCGCGTGCGTGTGCGCGCGTGTGTGCGTGTGTATGTGCGTGCGTGTGTGTATGTGCGTCGCGTGTGTGTGTGTTGTGTGCGTGTGTGTGTGCGTTGTGCGTGCGTGTGCGTGCGTGTGTGTGCGTGCGTGTGCGTGCGTGTGTGTGTGTGTGTGTGTGTGTGTGTGTGCGTGTGTGTGCGTGTGCGTGTGTGCGTGCGCGTGTGCGTGTGCGTGCGCGTGCGCGTGCGCGTGCGCGTGCGCGTGCGCGTGCGCGTGCGCGTGCGCGTGAGTGTGCGTGTGCGTGTGCGTGTGCGTGTGCGCGTGCGCGTGCGCGTGCGCGTGCGCGTGCGTGTGCGTGTGCGTGTGCGTGCGTACGTGCGTGCGTGCGTGTGCGTTCATGTGTGGGTGCGTGGGTGAGTGGGTGGGTGTGTATGTGTGTGCGTGCGTGCGTGGGGGGAGGGGGGCAAACTCGAGCGAAAGACGCTGGTATCGCATCGCAGCCAGCGATCGGGAGACCCCATTGGCCCGCAATGGGACGGTCACTCGGGTGAAGGGTCACTCCCCAGACCCCCAACGTCATATTTGTCTTGCAACGTCGACCTCTGAAGTCTCGCCCAATTCCTGGGGACTGGTTTTTCATCCCTTGCATAATTACTTGTTTGAGGGCCAGGGCCCGGCGAGAGCCCCCCAAGGTCGAAAATGGTGAAAACACATGTCATGTTTTTCCACGACGCGAGGGTGTCAGGGTCTTACGTGTAGTCGAGCCCTGGGCCAGGGACCCCTGGCAACACCAGGCCCCTCGCCGCGGCAAGGGGCAACAAAGCGCTAGGCCAGAGCGGCGACGCGCGGGTGCGCGTAGACGCGCGCGCGGCCGACGGCGGCAGGGCTGCAGCCATCGTGCTGTGAATCTCGAGCCCCAGGTCCTAGATCTCCGACATGATTGTTCGATCGGCGGTTGGTTGATTTCGGCCTCCGATGCCCGTCATTGGGCCCTGGGACCAAAAATGGACACGGGGCAAAAAAAGTGGCCCCAGAGAAGGA